CCAAAACATCTAATAAGAGATTTATTATCCAACTGCTGTAGTCAATAAATTTATCAATGAAAAGAGGGAGAGTGTGACAGTTTTGCGTGCGCACGCCGACCTGTGCGGCAAACAGGTTTTCTACTGTACAAATACCTGTACAATATCGCTGTATATTTGTACTGTTATTTGGACGGTGTTTGCTGCAGTTGGATAATAAATGACTGTATACCTAGTTTCACTTTACCAATTCTGTGATACTTATAGTGTACATGTAGATGACATCTGTGTTTGAGATTAGTGGCTTACCAGGTTGACACTTATATCTAGGTCTGCAGCATGAAGTGCCTGAGAGTATTATATCTACCTGCCCCTCTCCCCGCCCCCGCCCCCCTCCCCCAACTCTGAAGTGCATTCTGTTACTCTGGAGTGCATTCCCTGTACCTCATACATGTAATGCTTGTTCCCAGCAGGCAAGGATGCTACAGTGTACATGTATGTACTCATGGTGCCTCTGTTCTCCAGGTGTAAATTAGTACCATTGAGAATAATTATGTGTTCCTTTCACTGAATTGACTATATGTAATAAACCTTTCCCACATTTCACCTTAGTGCGTATGAACAATAGCACCAGAGCGAGGTTGGGGTGGACATTTTCATACATTTGCTGTATTTTTGTCCTCCCTGACCTCGATTCGTCGCCATTGTTTGTTGGAATGCGGGAAAGGTCTATTGTATGGACTCTGTGCAGGGGAGCTGTACAGAGCTGTGCTGTATGAAATTGATTAGACAAGTACTCACAGCAGAGGCCCTGTCAGGGGAGAAGGGGGGGGGGGTGTGTTTGCATGTCCCCTGTCTGAATTTCAAATTGTTTTAATTGACACAAGTTTTGGTGTTTTTCGTCACTGCAATGACTTCCATGTTGCTGTTTCAATACCATGTTGCCTGTTATAATTTACATATGCAGGGCATCATAGCAAGAGAAGAGTAACTACCGTCGACTCTCAATGACTGGAACCCTCGCTAACTCGAACCTGGCGCTAACTCGACCCAAAATCGATTTCCCCTGGATTTCCGTCATGTACATTTACTATCATTTTACCCTCGGTAACTTTGAACTTTCGATAACTTGAACCTCCTGCTAACTCGAAGGAATTTTCGTTTCCCTTCAAGTCATTTTCTATATAATTTTACCCTCAATAACTCGAGCCACGTCTTTCAATATGTGACAAGTCAAAACAAACAGTGTACTGTAGTGCAAACCACTAAATTTACTTTGAAGCAGTCATGTGAAAAAACCTGTACAGTTCAGAGTTCATGGACTTCTCCCTGCTGCTTTCCTTTGTTATATTTTTCACATTGCATTACATTCCGATTTATAAAGTATTTTAGAGATGTATTGTTTTAATTTTCATTTGACCTCTCTATTCTGCAATTAAATTTGATTAAAACGCACACTGTATGAATACAAAAACATTAAACACCATTTTTTCCTCATTTCCGGTCATTTGTTCTCAACTCCCGATAACTGGAACTACCAATAACTCAAACCTTTTTCAGTTTCCCCTGAGTTATCAGGAGTCAACTGTACATGAAATCTAAAGGGAGATCCCCAATAAAACAAAAATCTGCAAAAAATAAAAACAATGTATGCACATGTGTACATGTATGTATGAGAATGCAAAGGAGACTTACGCGTCAATAAAGACCTCACTGATTTCTTTCAGGCTGTCAGAGTCTCCACCCATGACAACAATGTGATGTGGCATGTAATTATCATCTTTGGCATCTACAGTCACAAGGAGTTGTCTGAAAATGAAGTACAGATAATATTATTATAATATAATCAGAAAGTCTGCAAGGAGTACATTAATTTTAGAAGTACAAGGGGTACAGTGTCCGAAGAGACTTAGAGACAATTTCTGGGTAGCCAGGATTGAAATAATTCCCAGCAATATTTACAGTTGACTCTGGTTTTAATTGTTTTCTAAAAGGAACTACATGTAACAATTATTACTAGTTGTTTTTAGACACTAAAAAACACCAGAATAAACAGTTACTGTAAAATTTGTTCAGAGGTATTTCAATGCTGGTTAACCCAAAGTTTTCCAAAAGCCACTTAGGGCTTCATTTCACGCATCCCTACAATTGACCAATATATCAGTCCCTGTGCTATGTATCACACTCTCTGCAGTGAGCCAAAACAAGTACTTCCTTATTCCTCTACGTTCCTAATGGAACATAGGTCCTCAACTAGAGCGTGCCACCTAACCCTATTTTGGGCTGACACCTTGTTGTGGTGGTGGAGCTTGTGTGTCTCAATGACCCAGAGAGCTGTGTCGGTGGGGACTTTGGTCCCTGGCAGGTCTAACCATGCCAGATTGGTCGAAGGGTAGAGGCCAGACGAAGAACAGCCCCTGGTCCTCCAGGTTGGGGGTTGGGCAGCGGGCCGATAACCCACTCCCGGAAAAAGAAACATATTACAGAAACCGAAACTAGAATTACCACTGCGCCCTATCGGGAAGCAGGGGTACAAGATGCTAACACTCAGTTGGAGCAACACGCGAAGCAGAGAATGACGTATAAACTGCTGGTGAAATTACTGTCGCCAAAAGCGTGTGTGATGAAAACAAGCACTACTCAACACTTACACTTGGATAATGGAATTCAAGAGTTTTCATTAGCCTAGCCATCATGGCTATCTATTATCTCATAACCAATGTGTGCTTGTGGAATAACTGTTAATTAAATGGAAGTTTATGCTACCTAATAACAGTGCCAGGTCTCATTGATAGTTTAATCCAATGTCTGCCTTGGCTGCCATCAGTTTCCCAGTAAGTCTCTGGATCGCCGTCAGTCAGTGCATCTTTAGATTCTTCTTCCTTGAAATTTCAAATAAAGCAAATCTGGTTCAATCTATTTCTTGCCAGAAATTAGAAATCCATTTGACACTTGAGTTCGTAACTGAGGAAAATAGTAAATTTGACAGCTATTCAAACTGCCTAATTGTCCACATGAGGTGATTTTGTAAAGGAAATTATGATAAAAGGAATTTGCACTTGCAATCATGTAAAATGAGCAAGCAAAACGTACTTGGAAAACATGGGAATTTTATTATTCTTGGCTGTTTCTACTTGAAATCTGATCCAGAAGAAGGCACGGATCTAAGAGAAAGCTGAATGCAGGGTGGATGTTTAGACAAATGGGGGTGGACCACCACCATCCATTAAAAACATCAACATGGTGATCTGTCAATAATGCTACATTTCATTTGCATTTCTCTTTTAGACTGACAGCCTTGTTTCTCCTAATTGATTTTCTGTTTACTCACTTCATGAATTTGTTTCAAAATACTGGTTTGTAACAATGAACTTAAAATTATTATCAGTTTCCCCTTCTTAAGTCCAAGGTATCTGTGGACTGATAATGAAACTTCTAAAGATACAATGCAGTAGATACAAAAAATGGAATGAAGATTAAGAATGAAAATCCTCAAATCAATTAGTTACTGACATTTACTTTTTCATTGGAAGGAACTCTTGAAAGGTTTAACAGGAACAGATTAAGCAACTTACAGAGGAAACCTGTACTGACTCCACATATCTGCTGATATTTCCAAGAGATGCCTCCTGCTTGTTAACATGTTCAGCCATGAACTTAGCCAGCTCTTCATCTGCGTCTAAACTCCACTTTGGTGGAGGAGAACTCAGCTGACGCATAGCCTCTTTGTCTGCATATCTTTCTATGGAGGGTGGGTCAGATATCCGAAGAGCATAGCACACCTCTACCGCATCTTGCCAACTGTAAGTGTCATGAACAAAGGACGAGTCAATTGATGCAGTAATGTTTCAGCCCAGAGGAATTTCACAATACAGACAGAGGAATCACTCTAACAGACACCACCGGGATAGGACAAAGTGTCTGTAGATGTGTCCAAATTATAGAGGTGAAAGATACACGCATGATGTCAGTTCCACTAGTAGTATAATTATACATGTAGTGTTCTTTAAAAGATATTATTTTGGAAGGAAAGGGTACTGCACACTGCTTACTTGTGTAAAACTACCCTAACAGCAGGGTTTTCAAAAGCACAATGTAGCTGGCTGCCATCACAAATCACCATCTATTTCATAATTTTGGTCAGCTACTCTGCGAGGGTACGTGTACCTGTATTTGTCTGATTCTTTGAAAGGAGATGGCAAATTCAACCACCTACTCCAAGAGCACTTAAAGCTCAACAACTTTGTGACAACCCTTGTAAAGCATATTCAATTACTTAAAAAGGCTGGGTTAATATTCACAAATAATCCCATGACTTTTCTTTAAAAATTTGGAATAAATTATAGCACAGCTCTGTAAGCACTTTTTAAAGACTTAATATTGCATGAGCCAAATGAATACAACCTGTATTTAATTTTATTTTGGTAGCATTTAGAAAACAAACTCAAAGGTTTATGATTTATTTAAAAATAGTGAAATCAAAGTCAGGTGATTATCAATGCATATTGAAAAGCAAATTGCATATAGTTACCAGATTCTGAGACTGAAAAAGGTCAAAACCTGTAAATTTATATCAAATGAGTGTTTTCTTTACACGAAGAGTATTAACTCCGAGTTATGCATACTGCAATTATAATATTTTTAAGTAAAGTATGGTATGTACATTTATCATCCAACTGCAGCGAATACCATCCAAATAACAGTACAAATATACAGCGATATTGTACAATTATTTGTACAGTAGAAAACCTGTTTGCCATACAGGTCAGCACATGCATGCAAAATTGTCACGCTCTCCCTCTTTCATTGATAAATTTATTGACTACAGCAGTTGGATAATAAATCTCTTATTAGATGTTTTGGTGGGTAGTATAGCTTTATATTTTTACTCGTTGTTTGTATTTTGACTCACCCTATGGACTCGTCAAAATATGGCATAACTCGTAAAAAGATACCGCGATACTACACACCAAAACATCTAACAAGATATAATATTGTAAACTGCACAGAAAGAAGTGCAAAGTGAAAAGTAAGTTTTAAGTCTGGGATTGTCTCAAGTCTCTCTCTGCTTTTTGTTTCTTTCTTTGTTTGTTTTTTTCTGTCGTTTTCTTTTTCTTTTTTCTTCCCCATGCCATGTACAGCAGTAGAGTACATGAATGGAATTATCATATACCTTTTAATTGTTCTATTTCCCTTGGATGATGAGCCTCCCTCTGCAGGCTTGAGGTAAGGGGTGCCTACACCATGCTTAGCATCGTAAGGTACTGAAAGTACCCATCCTTCTTTCACTTGTTTGCCAGAACAATACTTCTGCAAAGTTTTCTAAAAGTGAATGAAACATTAATAAAAGGGGTTAAATGTGTGAAACTATAGTGCTGTTTACACATGCGCATATATGATATTAGTATAATTTCAGAGCTGAACAAAAAGCAATCTGATTGGTTGAGGGATTGCTTATATGACACTATATTCACCACGCCAGGCTGTGAATGTAACATTTTTGAGACCTGGCTACTAAGCTCGCCACCTTTGTCATCTCGGCAAGTAAACATGATGGACAGTTGCTGAATGAATTTTTCATTTATTCGGAAGACATCAGTCCAAGTCCAGGATATTTTAAAGGATGGAAAATTTTCAGAATGACTGCTTTCACCAAAAAGCCTTTCAAAAACTCATACTCAAAGAATTTAAGAATTGTAAATGCAGTGGTTATGTTGATTCCCAGCAGGTCAAAGCGATTGACCGAAATTTATTTTTCTTCACATAAAGCTACTCATTTTTTGACAGTGATGCAACTGTGAATGAAGTGAACAATGACAAATCAAAGGTACTGGATGAATTTATTTTTTGTAGTGTTTCAATCGTTTGTTTTACTGCCGAACTCCATGGGTAAATTGATTCACAATCGATGTACATGTAAGCTTATTATTAAAACTATGGCTGCATACGTGTATGCAAACAAACAATTGGATCTGTGTTTTGTGTTTTAGTCCGTTATTCTGTAGTCCTCTCTGTTCAGCTCTGAAAATAATACTAGAACAATTATTTGCCTCAGGCTCAGTAACCATTGGTGAATATTCACCTGGAGTCCGTCTCGGTGAATATTCACCAATGTTCATTTCGCCTTTGACAAATAATTGTCAAATATCACTCAATTGGTTTATTAGTACTTAGTAATACATGTTTTAACTTCTAAAGCTACTGTACATGCAGCTTCAAGCTAGTTCAAACAAGCACATTGATATAGACCACAATGGTCTACTGTAGGTCAAACAACCCTTAATGTACTAATTAGTTTCTGAATGTCCCAGGAGAGAGGAAATTGGATTGGAAATCTTAATTTTTGAAAATCAACGGTCAGAAAAGTTGCAATTCCAATGTGCATCACAGTTACATGAACTGAATGTGTAAATTTATAGAGGTGTTTAAAATGATACCAAGATAACTAATTCACAAGTTCAGCATTGTTCCCTACAGTGCAGATTGTCAGTACTTTAGGTCTATATTTGTTTCCATGATAAAAACAAAATGTCACACCAGAACAAGTCATACTTGTGCAAGTTCATCAAAAAAGCTGTGGAAAATCTCTCCTGTCGGCTCACATTCCCACAGCATACCACATTCTCACAAACTTCCACTTG